AGATATTCTTCGAAACCCAACTTTTCTTCGCAAACATGAATGCATTTAGTCAAGGTCAGATGTCTACGGTGGAAATCTTATAGTTGCTGGAAAGGTCATCATGTAAAGAAATGTGAATAAAAACTAGCTTGCCAAAAAGGTTAAGTGACATACTGAGGTTGTGAAACATCAGAATAATGCATAAAGAGAAATAGACACTTTCTTCAGTAGCTCCTTTGTTTAGAGAATTTTTGGCCCCTCTTTCTGGGTCATGTAGTAATGTATATGTAATGGAGATCTGCTGACCCTTTGGCAAGAGACCATGCAAACAGAAAACAGCTTTAAAGGTGTATGGGTCTAAAAATGTGAGCATCGTTTATACATGACCAATACGAGACCCTCAAAAGGCTGGTTCAAAACACAAGGTTTTACTGGTTACAGGGACTTGACGTCAAAGTAAAAGATTCAGAAGTCACTAGAAATGACCCAAACATCCCACTTTTTAAATAGTAGGAACGATTGTATGAAAGTGAGTAGGACCTATTTGTGGCAATTGCATATTTTTAAGTGGATAAAGAGATAGGGCGAGGAAGAAGACCCACTGATTAAGAGAAGCAGGAGCAGAACTTGTACAACTTTCATAACATGAACATTTCATACATACATTATACAATAGCACAAATCCAAACATGAGTCAACATTAGAGGGTCGTATGTTAATTCATTTTATTTAAGAAAACAGCAACCACCAAACGCATCTCTTCTTCATGAAGTAACTTTACTCTTCTGTAAGCATGTTGAGTAAGTTTTGGGTGGTAAATCGAATCATCGGATGTCTCGTTTAGATCAAAAGAAAAGTTACTCTATCTCGTAAAGTATGGCTTCTTGCTCTGATGATGTCTGCCACGGCGGTACAGATAAAAGCTTAGAAATCTTTCGCACAACTCAACTGTCTTCACCCTACATTAAACCTCCTTGTATTTCCGGAGAGACCAGTTCACGAATTATTTTCAACCAGCATTTTCTTCGAAATGTAAAGTCATATGACAATCTGAAGCTATGCTTCAAAGACTGAGCAATAAAAAAACATTTAAATCAGTATAAAAAGTAATCCAGGCATCTTAAATGCACAATCTTAGTGAAAATGATTGTATAATTGCCATACCTTTCAGCATGACAACCAATCAGGAATACTTGAGTGGAAAAAAAACAGGTTGCATAAGGTAATGGTTTGGCATCTTTACCTAGCAGTATTAGAAAGAATGAATTGCGAGGCAGCGCAATCTCAAATACTGCCAGGTAAGACCTCAAAAACCACCCTGGCATCAATTTCGCTGACAGAGACGACAAAGCAACAGCATTAGTGAAGAAATGAAATAACATAGAATTATGATCAAATTATAAATAATACATATTTTCACCATTTTATTGGTTGATGCGTAAGACATGAAAATAAGAAATGACAATTACTTACCTCGGTCGAATGAAACAATTAGCAACTAATGCACAGCCCATTTGGTCCAGCATTTTAGGCATTCACTTCAGAAGGCCGCTTTGAGGTGCAGAGACGAAGAAACACCAACTGCCAGATGAGTCCGTTCCAGCCGGCTTTTCTACACTCCCGACTGAACAACTCGCGTCTGTCTACGCCCCCTTTGGCCACTACCCCATTTGGATTGTCAACGCTTTGGGTGTATTCTGTACGCCAATACCTGCAGGCCATCCAACTATTTGCTGACGTAGGCCACTCCACTGTCGCCATAGTGAGAGAGGCTGAAAAGTGTTGTCTCCCGGTTGTTGATGTCGCATGCCAGCCGGCCAGTGTATGCATATCCGGCCATAGGAATTGCCGGTTAGTGCAACAGAAGAGCTGTAGATGAGCTCAACCGTAGTGGGCTGTAGCCATCGCCGCGTCCGGCCGGAATCGGGGGCCTATGGCAACACGCACAACTGCCAGACTGGCTCACGAGTGGACAGAACCAACGCAGCCACAGACATGTCGGCCGTTTCATGTCTTGTTGGAAAACTACTCTTTCATCGTGTCTTCGTGAGTCTGACAGTGTCGGTCGACATGAATTGCACAAATGCTCGCCGTCCGACGCGTCTGTAAGTCGAGCATAACGTCGACTCGGTCGTCGAGCGACATGACGGCGGTCAACTGTTGTATCCAGGCCTCGGAGAAAAGTGTTTTCCGGCTCTCACATTGACCCTCTGGACCGGGACCTTGGTCGCTGGGCCTCTATCCTTGCCTCTTCTTGGTCAGAGACCAAAGACTAGATACCAGAGCCACCAGACGTGGGTCTGGCCAATTGCCGACCCACAACCGTGAAGATCCTCCTCAGACGCAAACGGTCGTCAAAGCCAAATCAATGGACTCCTGGCCTCTGGCATTGTTGTCGACGTGACATTGTGTTGACTTGGGCATAAAAGAGAGAGAGCAGAGTGGGTTGGAGAGCTTTGGCTACTGTCCACCAGTACACCCTTCCTCATGGCCCTCAGAACAAGGCTGCACGTTGCGCCGGGCAACTGGAGCAGATGGAACAGCACGCAGACGTACAGCAAAATGGGTGTATATAAGTTTGTCTGTGTGTGTGTGTTGCTGTGTAGGCATTCACATTTGCATATGCATTGCAAAGTATACGTGAAGATGGTAAGAATGAATGAATAAATGAAGCTGAAATTTGTAAAAATACCAAGTGAGAAGTAGCAAATGTGAATAGAGACAAGAGAAAGAAACAGAGAATGGGACACAAAACTAGAAATACAGGCATGTATGTACAAAAGAACTCTACAAAAATAAAAGATATAATTTTAGGCAAGGTTTTATTCATGGGATTTATCAATTTAGTCGTGAAAAGTCCATATTTTATATGAATTGTGTTGCCCCAATTTCCGGGACAGTAGAATTATCCCACAAGGCTATGAGTAGAGCTGACATTTCCATTGAATTTCACAGAACCTTGCTTTCCCAAAAGTTGTTTCCACCCCGGCTGAGGTGAAATCCCCAGCGGGAGTCGAATCGTGACATTGCAGAATCGGAGCTTGAC